TTCAAGTAATACTCAGACCTGCCGCAAGGTCAATTTCTTGGTAATAGTATCCTTGCCAGCTTGGATTTTATGGGTAGATAACACTGTCATTAGCTCCTGAGAACTGCACCCCATTAGCACAGCAGCATTCGTTACAGCTGCCAAGAGAAAGTTGAACAAAAGTCATAATTAGTAACTGAAGTTACCATGTTAGTCATAGATAATATGAATCAAGGGAGGAGGATAGTTCAGTGTTTTATAGACTTTTAGACCATATTCCTGGCCACATGGTACACCTAAACCATTACCTTCATCATTCACCACCTCAATGTGATTTTCATTATCACTATCTTGGAATGCTATATTTCCCAACCATAATATCGCAGCCAGCATCTTAAAAACTAGCTCTTGATCTTCTTTGCACATTTGAATAACATCCAATGCTTTCTGGGGGAAAACACATTTAAAAGGAGGAAAAATGACATGAGATCTTAGGAGGCTGTAAATAACATTAAAGAAACTAATGTTCAAAACTGAGTGGTAAAATAATATACCATCAGCCTTTTAAACTTTTTAGCATCATCAACACCATCAATTGTTGTGCAGTCACTTTGGTTAAGATATTTATATTCGCTAGCCGCCCTAAGATTCAGTCTTTCTGCACAGGAAAAGAAAATAATTCCATATGGTTTATCACAATGAGAAGGCAACTTATCACTTCAAATGCAAAAAATTGGAGTCAATGAAATTCAATATAAAATGAACAATCCATTTAAAATTTGTAAATAAGTTTATAGGGCAGAGGATATCTTTGCAGATGATAATAAGGGAGAATAACAGTCAAAAAAATTTAAATGGATTATCTCAGATGCACAGAAGTATACAAATATGTAAATTAATAGATAGATTGCCTCGAAAATGCACCTTTTAGTTTGGATGAAGATCCCGCACAAAGTTGATAAAATATGTGATATGACCTCTCACCCAAGGCAAGTTGAACAACTCTTGACTGGCCACAAGAGACAAGATGATTTCAGAAGTGAAGAATAATAATATTTCAGATTCACGCTATTGTTCAAATAGGGTATCACAAATTACCTTTTCTAACAGAACTGTTCAAGATAGCATTTAGGAATTGACATGAGAAACACAAAACCGTACAAATAAGTCAGGTGAGTAAATTCACAATAGAAGAAAAAGAATATAGAAAAGAGCTAATTTTTTGTAAAATTTAACAGGAGCAATCTTACAAGTTTGAACTTTTGCACCACAAATTTTCCCCATTGTGCTGAAATGAATTTCAATCAACTTCCCCTGAGCCAAATTGTAAACATATATCAACTACACTGCTCAGCCAGTATATAACATCCACAAAGTTACAAATCCACAAAAGAAATCTTATGGAACAAGAACAAGAGGAGTAAGTTCCTTTCACTACAATGAAAAGAAATGCAAACTCACAAATCTGCTAGAGTTATCATTCCTAGATGTTTTTGCATTCCCAAAAGCCTCTAGAATAAAATTTGTCTGAAGGATTTCATTTTCTATTCCTGAACAGCCACCACCAAGAGCAGCTAAGTATTGCATAGCAATTTTTGCGGTCTCTGTTTTCCCAGCTCCACTTTCACCACTGTAAACAAATTTATAACACCAATTAACAATTATACCAGTGGTTATACCATCTTATTGCTATAAAATTTTAATGATATTGAGTTCAGAAACATATATTAAGAGGCACACAAGAAATAGACTGCCTAATGTGCTGAGTGCTAACCTTATGATAATAGACTGATTTACTTCACCTGAAATGTACAATATGCAAACAGAAACTTTAAATCAGACAACTACATTATACGGTTCAAGAAGGGGACAAAAAATAGTAATTTCATCCACCTGTCATCATCTCATTGTAAGCTGCATCTGTCAAAGCATAAACATGAGGACTATCGGTAAGTTTCTGCCTATAAGCTAGAACATAATCATTGCCATAAACTTCGACATTTTTGAAAGGATTGAGTGCAATTAAAATTGGCCCTGCTTTACTCTGCATACAAGGAGTACAAGCAGCATATGAGAATAGATAGATAATCAACTGGGTAGGAAAAACAAGCCAAAGCAGCAGACCTACATAAATCATATCCTGAGCATATCTATACTGAAGATTGTGAAGAACTGAAGGCTCATTTAAGTAACTGAGCTGTATAAGATCTTCAATACCCTCCAAAATGTCAGGATTAGCTGGTAGGAGATCTGACCTGGCTACTTTCAGAACCTGCAGTAACAACTCAATGGCCCAAATCACATGTTACTTTGCATATTCAACAATGAATACCTCTTTTAAAAGACAAAAAAGGATCAGAAATTCACATTTCCATTTGAGAGATAAACAGATGCTTCCTCTCCAGAAGTTGACTGTATCGTTCCCAGCTCCCATTTCCCTCTTGGTTGCCTACACCAAACATGAAGTTTCTGTGGAAACAACCAAAAACAGAAAGGAATTTAACAGACAAAACATAGCATAAACAATGTCTCAATGCTGATATACAAATAGATAAAAGCGGCAAAAGAACTTTCATATTTTCAACAAGTAGGGAGGCTTAGGGAAACACAACAAACAGAACGAAGATTGAGCTGAAAGTACATTATGCATGCCACGAACAATTTACCTATGCATAAGTGTTGCCAATATGAAACATCAAACAAATAAAATCTGTGAATCTAAACATCAGTCAATTTAAAATTTAACAATTAAAATAACCAAAGAGATTTCCAATCTAATTCAGACGAGTGGAGTCTATTTCTATTTGCAATTTTGAAAAGGTTGTGCAGTAGTCGTATAATTACAAATTACAGATTTTTTAAACACCAACTTCCACATTTCATTCAAGCTGAATGCTTTTATCCATACACCAAAAGCTTATCTTTCTGACTGAAAAACATAACACACACAAAAAGAGACAACTGAAAACAAACTGAGGATTTTAAAGCACCGAGAATCGCTGTTAAAACTTCAACCCATTAATTAACCAGTTATTACTTATCACCATTAATGATTATAAACTTTTTCAAGTCCCAATTACCTTTTTTATGAAATAAGCAACGTTATCATCCTCCAACTCCTCAGACTGAGGAGGAGCTTCACAATCAGTAGAAGAATCATTCGCAGTTGGAACCGGAGACGATGGTTGTTCACTCACTTTCTCTTCTGATATGACTGCATAAGGGGATTCCACACGCAACTTGACCTTCTTGGACCCAAAACTACCCTTCCTTTTGTGCCCCTTCTGATCATTATCGCCATCAACCTTGAAGTTATGAGGCAACGACCTCCTCGCCGGAGGCAACCGCGCCCTCGACTGCGGCCGCGACGGCAATGCCGGCGGCAAGTCCTTCGGTCTCTCCTCCTCGTCTCTCTTGCGAAGCGACTCAAGCATCTCCTCCAGCGAACTCCTCGATAGAGCAGACATTGTAGCTGATAACATCATCTTGAAAACCTCAATCAACAAAATTAGCCAAATTTCACAACGCTTCCCTCAAATTCAGAAACTCTCATACCCGACAACTCAAGATTTTTCAATTAGCAACACCCCATCTCCTGATTCCACCAACCCATTTCAGAATTGACGCGGAAAATGACAATAAAAATGAAAAATAAAAATGAACTTTTCTTTGTCTGGAGGTGGTTCAAAATAATAAAGTCGAAAAGGGTGAGAAGAAGAACGAAAAGGGTCGTTGGAGCAATCAACACAACCTTCAAAAACGAACTCCAGAGGTGCATTTGCCAAATCGAGGAACGTCGAAGGTTTCCATGGCTGAAAGCGAAAATTACGAGGTTTGAATGAGGAGGTTGAGGTTGTTGCGAACGAGAAACAAAAACAAACCTCCTCAGAGTCTCAAAGACAGGGAGAATGAGAGAGAAAGCCAAAAAAGAAAAAATATGGGAGAGAGAAAAAAAAGGTTAGAAACACCGAACAGCAACAATTTGGGAAAATTCGCTATTGCGAGTGTTGCTCTGCTCTGTTCTTTGCAAAACGGAATAAAACGTTTAGCGTTGCAAATCGTGTTCCTGAAAACAGAACAGGAACTTTTAACTCTGTCCTTGTTGTCGTTGTTGGTGGTGATGATCCCTTTTTTTTCTTTCTGCCCAGAAATTCAAATTTTTCCGATGAGTTGGCGACGCAACTAACTACTCTTCCAATATTCTTAATTCTTTTCTTCGGGAAACCGTTTGCATCTAACAGGCCAAACAATATTTTAGTATTATTATTATTATGAAAGAAAACTAAATGGAAAAATAATATAATATATTAAATATTAAATTATATATATTAGTTTGAACATTATAATAAGTTGTGAATTTGAAATGAGTGTGAAGCTTTACTTTTCAAAACGGATATGGATGTGAGTGCGGGAACGTGGAAAGAGTCTGACACTAAGCTTCAAAAACTATATTACTTAAATGGGCTCCACTTTTAATGTAATTACCATTCTTCACCAAAACATTTCTTAATTAATATAAGTAAAACTAAATTTATATTTTGAAAGTCCAACAGATTAATAATTATACTTTCCTTAATAAATTTATTATTTTTGGTACATAAGAGCTATTATATATTCATATAATAGTAATTGACTTTAATTGAGAAATTAATTCTTACAATACCTTTTTAACATAAGATACGCAATATTTTCCAAGTTAACTACTCCTTACTCTTCCTCCAAAGTTAGACAAAAGGGATAATTACTACTATATGTAGGGAGAAAATAATTCTTAAGCAATGATAATAATTTGTAAAAAAATAGTAAAAATAAAAATTTGACTTTTTTCTATTTTTATTTAATTTAAATTTAAAATCCTTGTCTTCTTGACTTTGAATTAATTGCTTTTCTTCTGGTTCACACCATAATAGATTTCTGCTTTCACTTTGACGGCAAGCTAGGGAAACTCAAAATAAATCATTAATGTGGGATGNAACAAAGGTTATAGTCAAACAATTGCAATAATTTTGACTATTAGGGCCACAGGATTAATCGCTCAAATTTCTTAATCCATATCAATAAGGTCCTCCGGTTCTTAATTTTCAAAAGTAGAAGTGAAAAGCACCAATATTTCTTTTTGGTTTCAATCAATTAAGTTTGTTGGAAATATTTTACTTAAAAATGAGCATAAAAATAAAGAAAAGTGTGTATGAAAGATAGAATAAAATAAGAACGTCCAACTCAAACAAAACTAGTATTGATATCCAGACATTACATGATTGTAAAGTAGTCACTCCCTTCTTCAGCTCATGGTAACGACGGCGAGCTTGATAACCACGAAAACTTTTTTGAATACCAAGTAGTCCCTGCAAAAGATATTTTCTCCTGTCCTCCAGTGCCCCAATCTGTACATTCAACCAGAACAGAGGAAATATGAAGTCAGACAAACCATTACATAAATTCATATTAAATTTATCTAAAACAACCTAGGTAGATTTCCTATAAATAAGAAAGGTTGTGACAGGCTAGGATATCTTATCATTTGTGAGAAAAAGAAAATCAAACTGAAACTAGAAAAGGAGAGGGAAAATCTCCCTTGAATATAGCTAAATAATGTTATCTGTACCTCCTAATACCTAATTTTCTCACAAATGACAAGATACCATTCTCAACATCTCTTATTTGTTTATAAGCAATCTTCCTTAATTCTTCTAAATCTCCACTGGACAAACTAACATGTCAACAACTTTCTTTCTCATTAACTATCCATTAAACAAAAATTATCCAATCCGTTCAGTCTATTAATTTAATAAGATATATAGAAAGGAACTTAAATATGGATGAGTAATGGAAAATGGATCCAATTGCCACCCTAAGCGTGATCCAGCTTGCAATACCATGGCTCTTTATCTGTTGAACAAACACAACACTAAATTACAGACATATACCTGCCCAGTTCGAAGATAAAGTTTGGTGAAGCCAACTTGGTACATTTCGGGAGGGATATTAAATTGTTGCAAAACCGCAACCGAAATGCTCAATGGGTCCTGAGATGTGTTCGCCTCAACAAGCAGAAACCCATACCTAACATATGTCCGAACACAAATCAACCCATTATTCAATATAAAAGTAAATAAATAGGAGTTTCACCACTACCTTCTGGAAAAATCTTGATGTGTCATTCGAGTAGGATATCCAGCCCTCGAAATCCTAACAACCTCCAAAACTCCACAACACTTGAGCTGTTGTAGTACAAGATCTTGTTCATATATTCCAGGAAGTTGCTTAGTATTTGGCTTTATACAGCGAATAAAGTGAGGTGTGGTGCTCTCCAGCTGATGCATCAACTTGAACAATTGACCCTAAAAGAAAAAAGACTCGTTAGGCTTATTTTTTTTCAAATTATTGTGTTTCTCTTGTTTCTCAGCATACTCCTAAACTTCAGGTACATTTACTACATATAATTTTAGGGGACTATATCACCACATATTAACAACATTGAAATCATTTCTTTCCAAATATTAAAGATGCTTAACCAGTTCAAGTAATGCTACAAGAATACCTTGAACTTAGTGCCAACACTCTGCTTTTTTGAGTCCAGAGCACCTCCATGCGAGTAATTTGATTGCTTCTGAGGCAGATTAAGCATCTTGGGGAACAACTGAAGCAGTTCACAGCTACATGATGACAGTAGTTGAATGGAATCAGATGGTAGTGGATCTCTATTCTTTTCTAGGAAGCCACTTGTATCATACAAAACCTAATAGAGGACCAGATATTAGAATAGTCAGAAATAGAAATACAAAATTGACTTCCATGGTATGCATTCTACATATATCTGACAGGCTAGGAAAAACAAAATTATAAAGCAGACATTGAACGTAACAGGCTATGACAAAAAAACTCTGGTTGAAACATTTTTTCTTCTAAAACTAAAACTGTGTTTAATATCAGAATGATAGTTGTGTCAAAATTTCCCACGTCAAAGTTAAAGCAACCCAACATTTTAGTGTTGATATTGAATTGCATGCTATGGAAGAAACTAAAATAAGCTTAGTTTTTGGGGAGGTTTTAGAAAGAGAGATATTTATATACAATTAAATAATCACATTAGAAAACAGAATTTTACAAAACACAAGCTATAAATGATTATATTAGTTTAAACAAGTCAAATTACAAAGATATTAATTATCAGTAATGCTACTTTTACAGTATAACAACATCAAATGTAGTAGGTTTATGCTTAATACTACAATACTCCAGGTGCACTATTTTGAAAACGAACACAATACGTAAACCAGTAAATTTAAGAATAATTCAACTTTAAGAACTTCAGCCAAGTATGTTTTGAAGCAATTAAATTTATCAATTTGACTTTAAAAATCACAACCAATAGATTTTAGAGGAGCTAACTTTCAAAGGTCAATAGGAACTGATACTAACCTCCCCAGCATAATGAGAGACACTAAAAGCCCTGCCTCTTTCCCCTTTAAAGCAAGGATTAGAGTGCAGGTGCTGCTTAAGTTTGTTGGCTAGTGTTAGATCACTGGCCTTGGGGAAATTAGATTCCTCGTCCAACAGAGAGAATAGCCCAAGAGGCTTCTGCACATTAGACAAACTAGTAAATAATGAAAATACTGAACTCCAACAATATGACACGAACATAATATGATTTTGAAAATAATTTGCAGTGTAAAAAATAGTACTGTCTAGGAAAAGAATACCTAAACAAAAAAAAAATGGCCTGTTTTCCTCCAGATCAGCAAAAGAATAGCTATAAAATTTCAGAAATCTTAAAACATTTAAATACCTTTTCAAAGAGATCCAAACACACTTGGTTGTCCTCAAACTCTACTCTAGTCCAATCAATACCGTCTAATTCATAGTCCTGAAACATGTAAATTGCAATGTTGTAATGAAGCATCCAAAGACTATTACACACTTAGCAAATGATGCAACACCAGCCTTTTGTTGTATTATGGTTGTTTTCTTCCATCATGTGACAGACAATGTACTGAAGTAAACAACATAGTGATTCAGACAGGTAAGTCACCAACTCGGGATTATATTGATCCATGGTTTGTAAATCAAAGGTTTCTTGTCGAGAGAAATTTTAGTTTGACATGACCAAATCCCTCCCTCATTCCCGAAAGATAACAAAAGTAATAACACCTTTTACATACACAAACTATATTTATGGATTTCCATCTCACACTATTGCTTTTGAATGAAAGACACAAACATACCAGCCATCAAAGCAACCAAGAATCTTAAACACAGAAATAATATACTTAGACCTTATACATTACATAAAGACAATTTATTTACCAAAGTTTAACATATTTTCTGACCTCCTGCTCAAGTTTAAACAGATGCCGATTGAAATGTTGTTGAAGCCTCTCATTGGCGTAGTTTATACAAAATTGTTCAAAGCTGTTATTCTGCAAAGAAAATTAATAAACAATTGGAATAATAGAAAAGAATCTATTAAACATAAATAAACATGCTAATAGAAACTGCATACCTGGAATGACTCAAATCCATAAATATCAAGGATACTTATAGATCTCCCAGTACACCGTTTACCTACTTGAAGTGACTTGTTAACTTGTTCTACAAGCCAGTCAAACAAGCTTGCATAGATAAATTTTGCTATTGCATCTCTTGCATCAATTGCCTGAATATAGAATAAAAAAATTAGATATAATAAAATAAAAAATAGTATAATACAATTAGGAAACAGAAAAACTGATCAATTGAATTGTTCAAGTAATACTCAGACCTGCCGCAAGGTCAATTTCTTGGTAATAGTATCCTTGCCAGCTTGGATTTTATGGGTAGATAACACTGTCATTAGCTCCTGAGAACTGCACCCCATTAGCACAGCAGCATTCGTTACAGCTGCCAAGAGAAAGTTGAACAAAAGTCATAATTAGTAACTGAAGTTACCATGTTAGTCATAGATAATATGAATCAAGGGAGGAGGATAGTTCAGTGTTTTATAGACTTTTAGACCATATTCCTGGCCACATGGTACACCTAAACCATTACCTTCATCATTCACCACCTCAATGTGATTTTCATTATCACTATCTTGGAATGCTATATTTCCCAACCATAATATCGCAGCCAGCATCTTAAAAACTAGCTCTTGATCTTCTTTGCACATTTGAATAACATCCAAAGCTTTCTGGGGGAAAACACATTTAAAAGGAGGAAAAATGACATGAGATCTTAGGAGGCTGTAAATAACATTAAAGAAACTAATGTTCAAAACTGAGTGGTAAAATAATATACCATCAGCCTTTTAAACTTTTTAGCATCATCAACACCATCAATTGTTGTGCAGTCACTTTGGTTAAGATATTTATATTCGCTAGCCGCCCTAAGATTCAGTCTTTCTGCACAGGAAAAGAAAATAATTCCATATGGTTTATCACAATGAGAAGGCAACTTATCACTTCAAATGCAAAAAATTGGAGTCAATGAAATTCAATATAAAATGAACAATCCATTTAAAATTTGTAAATAAGTTTATAGGGCAGAGGATATCTTTGCAGATGATAATAAGGGAGAATAACAGTCAAAAAAATTTAAATGGATTATCTCAGATGCACAGAAGTATACAAATATGTAAATTAATAGATAGATTGCCTCGAAAATGCACCTTTTAGTTTGGATGAAGATCCCGCACAAAGTTGATAAAATATGTGATATGACCTCTCACCCAAGGCAAGTTGAACAACTCTTGACTGGCCACAAGAGACAAGATGATTTCAGAAGTGAAGAATAATAATATTTCAGATTCACGCTATTATTCAAATAGGGTATCACAAATTACCTTTTCTAACAGAACTGTTCAAGATAGCATTTAGGAATTGACATGAGAAACACAAAACCGTACAAATAAGTCAGGTGAGTAAATTCACAATAGAAGAAAAAGAATATAGAAAAGAGCTAATTTTTTGTAAAATTTAACAGGAGCAATCTTACAAGTTTGAACTTTTGCACCACAAATTTTCCCCATTGTGCTGAAATGAATTTCAATCAACTTCCCCTGAGCCAAATTGTAAACATATATCAACTACACTGCTCAGCCAGTATATAACATCCACAAAGTTACAAATCCACAAAAGAAATCTTATGGAACAAGAACAAGAGGAGTAAGTTCCTTTCACTACAATGAAAAGAAATGCAAACTCACAAATCTGCTAGAGTTATCATTCCTAGATGTTTTTGCATTCCCAAAAGCCTCTAGAATAAAATTTGTCTGAAGGATTTCATTTTCTATTCCTGAACAGCCACCACCAAGAGCAGCTAAGTATTGCATAGCAATTTTTGCGGTCTCTGTTTTCCCAGCTCCACTTTCACCACTGTAAACAAATTTATAACACCAATTAACAATTATACCAGTGGTTATACCATCTTATTGCTATAAAATTTTAATGATATTGAGTTCAGAAACATATATTAAGAGGCACACAAGAAATAGACTGCCTAATGTGCTGAGTGCTAACCTTATGATAATAGACTGATTTACTTCACCTGAAATGTACAATATGCAAACAGAAACTTTAAATCAGACAACTACATTATACGGTTCAAGAAGGGGACAAAAAATAGTAATTTCATCCACCTGTCATCATCTCATTGTAAGCTGCATCTGTCAAAGCATAAACATGAGGACTATCGGTAAGTTTCTGCCTATAAGCTAGAACATAATCATTGCCATAAACTTCGACATTTTTGAAAGGATTGAGTGCAATTAAAATTGGCCCTGCTTTACTCTGCATACAAGGAGTACAAGCAGCATATGAGAATAGATAGATAATCAACTGGGTAGGAAAAACAAGCCAAAGCAGCAGACCTACATAAATCATATCCTGAGCATATCTATACTGAAGATTGTGAAGAACTGAAGGCTCATTTAAGTAACTGAGCTGTATAAGATCTTCAATACCCTCAAAAATGTCAGGATTAGCTGGTAGGAGATCTGACCTGGCTACTTTCAAAACCTGCAGTAACAACTCAATGGCCCAAATCACATGTTACTTTGCATATTCAAAAATGAATACCTCTTTTAAAAGACAAAAAAGGATCAGAAATTCACATTTCCATTTGAGAGATAAACAGATGCTTCCTCTCCAGAAGTTGACTGTATCGTTCCCAGCTCCCATTTCCCTCTTGGTTGCCTACACCAAACATGAAGTTTCTGTGGAAACAACCAAAAACAGAAAGGAATTTAACAGACAAAACATAGCATAAACAATGTCTCAATGCTGATATACAAATAGATAAAAGCGGCAAAAGAACTTTCATATTTTCAACAAGTAGGGAGGCTTAGGGAAACACAACAAACAGAACGAAGATTGAGCTGAAAGTACATTATGCATGCCACGAACAATTTACCTATGCATAAGTGTTGCCAATATGAAACATCAAACAAATAAAATCTGTGAATCTAAACATCAGTCAATTTAAAATTTAACAATTAAAATAACCAAAGAGATTTCCAATCTAATTCAGACGAGTGGAGTCTATTTCTATTTGCAATTTTGAAAAGGTTGTGCAGTAGTCGTATAATTACAAATTACAGATTTTTTAAACACCAACTTCCACATTTCATTCAAGCTGAATGCTTTTATCCATACACCAAAAGCTTATCTTTCTGACTGAAAAACATAACACACACAAAAAGAGACAACTGAAAACAAACTGAGGATTTTAAAGCACCGAGAATCGCTGTTAAAACTTCAACCCATTAAATAACCAGTTATTACTTATCACCATTAATGATTATAAACTTTTTCAAGTCCCAATTACCTTTTTTATGAAATAAGCAACGTTATCATCCTCCAACTCCTCAGACTGAGGAGGAGCTTCACAATCAGTAGAAGAATCATTCGCAGTTGGAACCGGAGACGATGGTTGTTCACTCACTTTCTCTTCTGATATGACTGCATAAGGGGATTCCACACGCAACTTGACCTTCTTGGACCCAAAACTACCCTTCCTTTTGTGCCCCTTCTGATCATTATCGCCATCAACCTTGAAGTTATGAGGCAACGACCTCCTCGCCGGAGGCAACCGCGCCCTCGACTGCGGCCGCGACGGCAATGCCGGCGGCAAGTCCTTCGGTCTCTCCTCCTCGTCTCTCTTGCGAAGCGACTCAAGCATCTCCTCCAGCGAACTCCTCGATAGAGCAGACATTGTAGCTGATAACATCATCTTGAAAACCTCAATCAACAAAATTAGCCAAATTTCACAACGCTTCCCTCAAATTCAGAAACTCTCATACCCGACAACTCAAGATTTTTCAATTAGCAACACCCCATCTCCTGATTCCACCAACCCATTTCAGAATTGACGCGGAAAATGACAATAAAAATGAAAAATAAAAATGAACTTTTCTTTGTCTGGAGGTGGTTCAAAATAATAAAGTCGAAAAAGGGTGAGAAGAAGAACGAAAAGGGTCGTTGGAGCAATCAACACAACCTTCAAAAACGAACTCCAGAGGTGCATTTGCCAAATCGAGGAACGTCGAAGGTTTCCATGGCTGAAAGCGAAAATTACGAGGTTTGAATGAGGAGGTTGAGGTTGTTGCGAACGAGAAACAAAAACAAACCTCCTCAGAGTCTCAAAGACAGGGAGAATGAGAGAGAAAGCCAAAAAAGAAAAAATATGGGAGAGAGAAAAAAAAGGTTAGAAACACCGAACAGCAACAATTTGGGAAAATTCGCTATTGCGAGTGTTGCTCTGCTCTGTTCTTTGCAAAACGGAATAAAACGTTTAGCGTTGCAAATCGTGTTCCTGAAAACAGAACAGGAACTTTTAACTCTGTCCTTGTTGTCGTTGTTGGTGGTGATGATCCCTTTTTTTTCTTTCTGCCCAGAAATTCAAATTTTTCCGATGAGTTGGCGACGCAACTAACTACTCTTCCAATATTCTTAATTCTTTTCTTCGGGAAACCGTTTGCATCTAACAGGCCAAACAATATTTTAGTATTATTATTATTATGAAAGAAAACTAAATGGAAAAATAATATAATATATTAAATATTAAATTATATATATTAATTTGAACATTATAATAAGTTGTGAATTTGAAATGAGTGTGAAGCTTTACTTTTCAAAACGGATATGGATGTGAGTGCGGGAACGTGGAAAGAGTCTGACACTAAGCTTCAAAAACTATATTACTTAAATGGGCTCCACTTTTAATGTAATTACCATTCTTCACCAAAACATTTCTTAATTAATATAAGTAAAACTAAATTTATATTTTGAAAGTCCAACAGATTAATAATTATACTTTCCTTAATAAATTTATTATTTTTGGTACATAAGAGCTATTATATATTCATATAATAGTAATTGACTTTAATTGAGAAATTAATTCTTACAATACCTTTTTAACATAAGATACGCAATATTTTCCAAGTTAACTACTCCTTACTCTTCCTCCAAAGTTAGACAAAAGGGATAATTACTACTATATGTAGGGAGAAAATAATTCTTAAGCAATGATAATAATTTGTAAAAAAATAGTAAAAATAAAAATTTGACTTTTTTCTATTTTTATTTAATTTAAATTTAAAATCCTTGTCTTCTTGACTTTGAATTAATTGCTTTTCTTCTGGTTCACACCATAATAGATTTCTGCTTTCACTTTGACGGCAAGCTAGGGAAACTCAAAATAAATCATTAATGTGGGATGCCCTTGCCGCAGAGTGAATGGCAAATTGCATGGCTATAAGGAGACTGGAAATTTAATACCATACTTAATAAAGATAACTGATTAAGATTTAAATCATGGGAATTAAGAAAATTGATTGAGTTTAGTAATGTTTTTTTTATGGCAATATATAATGCTAACCTTTTTATGTAGAAAATGAAAAATTCAACCGATTACCTTTTTTTGTTACTTTATGAGTTGTCTAATATTACATTTTCCTACTACTATTAAATGTATTTAATAAACATTTAATGTCTTGAAAATGCAAATCTATTTAATACCTACCATACGAAAAAATTAATAAGAGCATTTATGATTATTCTCTCATTTTACTATTTTTTTTCATCAGGATATAGCCTACTCTCGAATGATGTAATAAACACTCAGATAAGTAAAATTAAATGATAGGTATAACTTCGCATTTATGGTTTATTAATTGAATTCTAACTAAAGACAACCGCATGCTTTAACACTTTACTAACAAAAAAATATGGGTATTTTAGAAAGATATATTAGGAAAATTTAACAATATAATGAAACACGAATTTAATTTATATAAATAATGCCATCATTTTCAACTTAAGATAATATATTCTTATATTATTTATACATCTTTTTGATAAATATATAAAAAAAATTAATAATAATAAAATATAATTCTAATTCTGGATTATATAAGTAATTTATTTACTTTCAAATTATAAATCTTTTTTTTAGATATTAAATTATAAATCTTTTTTTTTTATATTTAACTTTCTCACTTTTATCATTTTTATCTTTTTAGACACGTTAGTTTTTGAATTAAAAATAAAAAGAAGATACCGAAATAATTGATCGGAAAACGATCGACCCTAATATTAGATTGAACGTAAAATGTTATTAATAATGTTGAGGACAAGCATGTTGAGCCAAAACATTGCTTGCATTCCATTATTAATTTGTTACTAGAAAATCACGTCAATAAAGGTGCTTTATAGCCAAAGACAAGGCAACAACGTTATGGAAAGGGTGTGTGTGTGTATATATATATATATATATATATATGCGTGTGTGTGTGGTCCTACGTGGCTGCATCATAATAATTGAAAGATAAAAAAGTATAGTATTCCCACATGCAATGAAGATCATAAATAAAAAGTATAGTATTCCCACATGCAATGAAGATCATAAATGGAAAATTAGTTTTCGGATTTAATACCATTTAGCACATAACAACGACTTTATCGATAGGGAAATATAACTAAGACATGTTACATTAACAATTATTAAAATTTATTAATATCTATTTAGAAATGAACTATATAAAAAGGAAAGTACTTTTTGTTCTGAAACTTGATAAATAAAGCTACTAAAAGTAAAAACTAATGATAATTTTGAGAAAACTTAAAAAATTATTTATTTTATTTAACTTCGGAGGAAGTAATTTGAAAGGGATATTTGTTTTGTGAAGGGTTTTAAAGATGTTTTGGCACATGCTACGCCATAAATTATGATCACTTCACACCTCACATAACAGAATACTACGTAATGCTCTATATATCGCTTTCTTCTTCGTTATAAATATTTTTACTTTAAAAACCATTAGTCAAAGTTCTGAGGTGCTGACATTCATATATTGGAGGGAATTTTGAATATTTTTAGTCTGCGTTTTGATTGGATGTATGAACTTGATTGATTTAAATATATATATATATATATATATATATATATATATATATATATATATTGTTTTTCAATTAATAGTTAATCAACGTACTTAGAAGGAAAATTTATTCTTTTATCTTGAAAGAAGACTCACCTAGAAGTTATATGATTACCACTATTTTATTATTGATAATTGTCATTTTCATTATTTCCACTATTATTGTCATTCTTTTTTCAGTAATCACTACAACCATATTATTCTTGTTATAAAATAATCACACTCTTGTAATTTTATGTACTCAAATGGATAAAAGTTACCGAGATCACTCTCTTTATAAAATTGTTATACATAGGTAACAAAAGTGGTGAAAGATACATACATGATGTTAAGACATGTAATTAAGTCTCTTTTGAACTATCTAAACACATTTCAATTCAAACTTATGAATGCATGTCATCATTGTACCATTCTTTTATTTTCTTTTTATATTTTATTAATATAAATATTTACCTAGGTTTTTATTTTACTATATAACTTGTTGATCTTTGAGGAGTTATGCAAAAATAGTGTTAATAAATATTTAAGAATAATGTTTACATTTTGTTAGAAATTTAAATGAGTTTAAATTTTGCATTAAGTAAAAATAAAAAAAATTGGTTATCATATAAGGAAAGACTCATAAAGTAGATTTTAAGATTTTTTATTAGAGATGTTGTCAATCCGTATGTGAATTTGACTTATATCTTATTAATGTTGTTTATCTTTTTAAAAGACCTATAAATGATATCGATTATTTGTTTTGGTGAGTGATTCTGAAAAATTTATATTTATAAAGTCTTCATGTTATACATGATTAACTTAAGATATTACTTAAAATTTTGGGTTAGAGATAATATCAATCTCTTATATATGAATTGAATTCATCTCTTATATTACTTCTTACCAGTAATTATTTTTTGAAAAATTAATCATATTTAATTATACATTAATAAAATTATTATGGTTGACATATATAAAGAAAATAAATATCAAAAGAAGCATCATATTACTCCAAAAGCAAACTATTTTTGAAAAAAAAAATGTGTAATAATTAAAATATTGACTAAAACTTATGATAATCGAATATCATATAACATCTTAAACTTCGATGACGGTGTCTCGGTGAAGAACATCAAAATTTGGTGACTACAACTACTATTAGTATGGAGAATATAAAAGATAAAGAAATAGGTGAATTATTTTGGTGGGTGAGATTTGTATGTTTTTGTGTAAAATGGTTCATTAGGAGAGTTTTTAAAAGTTTAAAAAGGTTGGTGATGGAGATGAGAGATTGAAGATTATAGAATGAATAAAGCAAATGGGCACAGCACATCCCCACTCTTGAAATGGAGTGAATTGAATAGATACAAGTGAGAAGAAGACATGCAGGATGCATATGCAATGCATGTGTTCATGTGAAGCTTCACTTCATGTGGTTCAGAATTAGCAACCATAACTAATTTCATCTTCCCATTCTGGATTTAATGTTTGTTCTTTTCTTCTTAATTTTATGCAGTGCACACCAGTTACCAATGTACCTATAATTTGTTAGTTCAGACTTACCATTCCTATCACCATAGTCATCATTTATGAATTTATATTAGGTGTATATTAGAAAGATGCAATTTCTTGTCAAATCTTTTCATGTATTTAATTGAGTTCGATATCTTTTTTTTTCTTATTCTTAACACATGTCTTCAAAATACAATGATTTTGATATATTAAAATGAATTTAATATATTTTCTTATGCCAGCTTGCCTTTTCACTCTCTGCCACGTTGCTTGTATTTGAGAACTTCGTTCGTCTTCTCCAGCAGAGCCTAGCCTCCATTGGATCAGTCGTCGTGTCGGACCTTCTGCTCAGTCCAAGGTGTCGTCGGTGACACCAATCGCCACCGGGGCCATTGCCGGCCGCGGCATCGATTTCTCCCTCCTTGCCTTTTCTCCGCGCGTGAGAGAGAAGCTCTCTTTCCTCCGCCAATCGCCGCCTGAGAGAGCTCAGCCTCCGCGAGCCACAAACCAGGATGGTCATCGCCGACGCCCTCGACAACCGGTCAGAGTCGTGAGGACTAGTCTCTCATTCCTTTGATTCGGCGCGGCCCAAAAGCAGGGGTTATCATCCCCCATTTCGGCGAAGCAGACGGCCACTAACGTCCACTGTTCCGCGCCGTCAACACCTGCCCCATGACATTCCAGAAAACGCGAGCATCCATGGCATTCCCAGAGTTTCGAGTAGGGACTAAAACTCAAAATCATGTGATACTTAAGAGACAAAAAACATATTTAATCAAATCTATTTTTAAAGATATTTTTATTATTAGAAAAATTAATTTTTGTATTTATAAATAAAAAAGTTAAAAATAAAATAGTAGACATAAAATATGTGTCAAAATGTAAAAATAATGTTACCTTAAAAAAAAAGCTACCACAGAAAATCAAGATCTATTAAATATTTTTAGTTTATTTTGGTTCCCCATAAGAGTTAGTTTTTTCTTGTAAGATTCAATATTCAATATTTTAAAACATTATACTTCTGAAATACAAATAAAGTGTTAGTTTCATTTCTGAAAAATTGTTTCACTGAAGTTATAGTAATACTATCTGTTAATAATATTTAAAGGTATCTATACATTTAGATTCTTTCGTTCTTTTATAGATTTCTAAAATTCTCAACTCCATCTTCTTTACCTTTTATATGTTTTTAATATCTATCCTTCTTTTAAATATGTTTATATATAATTTTCATAATTATTTATAAAAGGAATTCATTTATTTTAAGANCCACTAACGTCCACTGTTCCGCGCCGTCAACACCTGCCCCATGACATTCCAGAAAACGCGAGCATCCATGGCATTCCCAGAGTTTCGAGTAGGGACTAAAACTCAAAATCATGTGATACTTAAGAGACAAAAAACATATTTAATCAAATCTATTTTTAAAGATATTTTTATTATTAGAAAAATTAATTTTTGTATTTATAAATAAAAAAGTTAAAAATAAAATAGTAGACATAAAATATGTGTCAAAATGTAAAAATAATGTTACCTTAAAAAAAAGCTACCACAGAAAATCAAGATCTATTAAATATTTTTAGTTTATTTTGGTTCCCCATAAGAGTTAGTTTTTTCTTGTAAGATTCAATATTCAATATTTTAAAACATTATACTTCTGAAATACAAATAAAGTGTTAGTTTCATTTCTGAAAAATTGTTTCACTGAAGTTATAGTAATACTATCTGTTAATAATATTTAAAGGTATCTATACATTTAGATTCTTTCGTTCTTTTATAGATTTCTAAAATTCTCAACTCCATCTTCTTTACCTTTTATATGTTTTTAATATCTATCCTTCTTTTAAATATGTTTATATATAATTTTCATAATTATTTATAAAAGGAATTCATTTATTTTAAGAAAACTATAAAGAGTTATTTTGACATAAATGATTTTTTTACATTTGACATTATTTTTTTATTTTGTATTTTTTTTCTTTTTCTAAACTTACAAAAGTTTACTCTTGTATGATCATTTTATTCTTGTAATGTGTGTTAAATGAATATAAATATATATTACTACCATTAGTATATTTTATATAAGAAAATTATATTTTAACACACATAAATTTTTTAAATTTATTTGACACTATTTTTTCTTATTTTTACTCTTTTGGAAAAATATAAAAAGTTCACCCATTAACAACCATTTTATCCTTATATTGTGTGTTAGATGAAGGTAAAAGTGTCTAACCTTACCATTACTTTTTTATATACTATTATATAAAAAGGATGTCATCTTTTGGTGTAAACATTTTATTTCCAACTTTTATCTTTTATGTATTTTTTAAAATAAAAATAATTAATTTATCAATTTTATATTTTTTTAAATTTAACTATTATTTTCGATTTCACATTTTAAAAAAAAACTTAATTATTCTTGTAAACTAAAATAACGGTCCTTTCTAAAATTATCTAAAAAACCTAATAATTACTTAAAATTGTATAAATTATTTAAATTTACTTTTATAATAATAATAGTATTATGATTTTTTTTGTTATAAAAAAAAAGTAAAGCGTATATGTTTTTATAAAAGGAATAACAATGTAGTCCAAAGTATTTCATAAATAACATATATTCAATTATATCTCTTCTTCTCTAAAAAAATAAATAGACATGTATTTATTATTAACTAACTGAATTATTAATTTAAAATAAATAAAGAGTAGTTCTTTATACTTACAATTGAATAGTTACAAAAGTTGTTTAGTAAAGTCAAAATATATTTTGTATATTTAAACATTTACAAAAAAAAATGGAAATTTTAGAACATAAAAGTTAATAAAGTACAAATAAGAAATTTAATAGATAATATAAAAGTGATAATGAAAATAATATTTTAAACAATTATGAGACTATTTTTTGACAGTATGCGGTGTCTTCGACTTTTAAAATGAAAATATTAAATAATTACGATATTATTTTTTTAATAGCGTCCGTGCGTTGAATTTAAAAAACTTTAGAATATAAAAAACAATAAAAAAAAGATTAAAAAATTTAAAATAATACAGAGGCCAACAATCATGCACACTCGTTTCCTTTATACTGTTATTCCTTACATAATTAGATTATCATACAACATTATTTTTCTTTATCTTAATATTATCCTCACTCGTTACTTTTACATAATCAATCAGGTTATGATAAATGTCTAGTGAATATCATGTATTTAATTTTACACTTCTGTTTCTGCGATCCCTCTGTTACACAATCAATTATTCAACATCTGTTGACTTAAGAATTTGAATAGTATATATACTAAAGTTTTGAGTTTTAATTTTGCTGTGGTAGTTGTAAAAAATAAATATTTTCAAATTATTTTAAGAAAATTGAGAAAAAGTAAGGCAAATAACAGTGAAATGGGATGAAGGCAGTGATAAAAGAAATAGAGAAATTAAGTTGTATGTATAGAATAAGTACAAAATTACACAAAGAATAAGAAGAGAAGTAGAATGGCTGTAGCCAGATTTTCCATGGTGAATTTGTGTGGTTTTTTCTTTTTCTTTTCCGACAAAACTTCATTCATGAGTACATTATATGCTTGTCATGTTTCCTACCATTTGCCACATAACATTCCAACACCAACTGCCCCGTTTTTTTTGCCTACCTTGTACACCAAGTCATTTTATTTCTCACTCAAATTACTTTCAACTAATAAAGAAAAAACTAAGAAACTAATTCCAAAGGTGGAATTATATTAAACAACCATATTAATTAATAATTATTGTAAAACCCCAGAAAAATGATATTTTAGAAGTAGTGATAGTCTAAAAATATTGAGACTCGATTATTTTAATGTTAAATGGTTTTATTATAAATATTTGTGTTATAAACGAGTTTCATTATTTTAAAACGTATCATCTTTCTAGAAATCACTTTTCGAGAGTTCTCTACCTTCTCTTTAAGAGTTCTAACTCTTGAGTTATCTCTTTGACGTTCAGGAGGTGTCTAGACGATCACGGTGTCAAGGTCTACAAATCCAACCATCAATTTCTGTTTTAGAGCAAGTAAGTTTCTACTCGTTTTTTTGTCATCTTTGTTTTGGTCAATGATCATGCACATAACTGTTATGCATGTATCATTTAGTTCTTTTTTCTGGCTCTTGGTGAATATAGAGTTCTAAGAACTCTGTCCGTTTCAATTTTGGTACCTCGTAGGTCCATTTGCGAATTTTTTGCGTTTCAAGCGACTGGCGAGACGTTTCTGTGGGTTGAGGCTGTTTCTTGTAAGGTAAGGGAAACTAGAACTTATCTTAGTTGTGTTTATATTATAAATTTGGTGTCTCTATGAGTTATAGATGATTTTGAGAAAATTGATATGATTGAGTGTATAAAATGTATGTTTGATTGAGGATTTTGATAGTGTGATGTTGAATATAAGTGGTATAGTGTGATTGTGATGATTAATATTGTTATAATTAAGTATGATGATGATGTTGAAATGTTTGAAACTGGATTCAAGTGGTTGTGTGAAATATTGATCAAGTTACTTGACTTTCAAGCTTAAAAGAGAGGTTTTTGGTGAGTGAAATTGAGAATTTGGTATTTGAGTGAGATAACAACTGGTCTAGCACTGTTATGTGATTAATTGGGACTTGTTAGAAGAGTTAGATGGTTGAAAACTAATATGGAGCAAAGATTAGGGTTCATTGTTGAAGTTTTGAAGTGTTTTAGTGGAAAAGGGGGGGTTTGAGCAGTGAGAATTGGAAGTAAGAGGTGTTGATTGTTTTAGACATTTGGGAGTGTGTTATAGGACCCATTAGGACTTTCTATGTTGTTCAATGAGAAAAATATGGTATAGGACAGTTGGTGTCATCTTAGGATGAGTTCTTAGAGGTTTTTGGCCCAATTTGAGGTTTTGAATGGTGAGATCTTGAAACAGAGGAACTGTGAGCAATCTTGGATGTTGGGGTGTACTAGCAAGTGTGCTTGGACTGGTTATACTGTTGGGAAACTGATATAGGGGTTAGAAAGTGTACATTTGAGTTTGGGTAGCTTATAGGAGTAAATTTGGGGTTTCACAGGTCAATTTGGGTTTGGAGTGGTCAAGTCAAGTTAAGAGTCTATTTTTAAATATTTCTCAGTGTCTAAGAGTGTTTAGGAATCATTTAAAATTGTATAGAGGGTCACCAAAGTCCAAATAGGCGAATTTTAGAACCTGATGCAGCGCTGGGCGCCCCTTTTGGGGAACTGAGCGCAACTCAGCAGATTTTTGTTTTTTTTCAGTTTTCAGGATCTCAAATTTGGGGTTCAGGGTGTCCGTTTTGGACGTTCTTTTTTTTTATTTGGGGGTTTTGGACCCTTCTAGAGCTATTGGTGAGGGTTTTAGAGCTGTTTTCCTTACCTAAATATGAGTACCAAAATGCCATGAATAAATTGTGTTATTGGGTGATTTTTGGTGACTTGTATGGTTGTTTCTATTTCTTTAATGTATGATCATGAGTCTCATGTATTGGTGTACTATGTGAATGTGAAGTGATAGCAATGGTATCAAAGTTATGTGTTGAGATTCAAAGTGAAAGTAAGTTCTAAAGTGAGATCTATTGGTGAGGTTCAAGTATGTATAGAATGAATACAAGAGCTCAGTCTTGGGGGTTATCCTGAAACTCCAATGGCCTTTCATTCTCAAGTAGAGAGGGTTGATTAATTTCGTGAGGAGAAGCAGAAGGTCTTAGTCTTGGGTGCTTCTAGTATGATCCAAGGCATGGAACAAACTAACCTTGTGAGTGTGGGAGGATGAAACTCATGGCAATGACTTTACAAAAGAGTAGAAGCCACCACAAGTGCACAACCCGCTATAGCTCGACAATCATTCTAAGTCCGGACAGTCCATTCATAATAAGTGTCCTGCATAAAGTGTTTGATGACTATGTAATGATATGTTTGTTGTGTGTAATATGTTTAAATGAGTTTATATATGTCATGCTTCAATTGTAAACTAGCTTACCCTTGCGTTTGTGTTTGTCTGTGTGTGTGTTGTTTTCTATTGTGCAATGATCACCTTAACCGGTGTGAGCTTAGGGAGGACATATTTAAGGAGATTCAACCTTTGGTTGAGAGAGAAAAGCAACAGGATATATAGTCTTTGTTTTGTCAAGGATAGGATCTCTTGTTCTAGTAACTTCAAATTCCTTGTAAGTTTTCATCTACGTACGTCTTATTTTAGTAGTTTTATACTATTAAAATGGGATGTTACGTCTGATTTTGATATTTTGTTTGACTTATTTGCTTATATGAGTTAATTTCTAATGATTGTAGTAATAATATGAGTTGTTATGATTTAAAGGATTCTATGGGGAAAATCCTAGTGTTTTGTTGTCTTAACACTCTAATAACCATTCACACTCACATAGAGTAGAATTGGATATGTGGTGAGAGTAGCAAGAATCCTAATATAAGGGTTTTTCCTTGGCCTAAGACGCGAAGGGGATTAACCTTGTGTATGGTAAGGTGAAACTCATTGCAATTACTCTATAGAGCAGTAAAGGTCACTACAAATGCATGTCTCCAATGAGTCTGATATCAATGCATGTATTCAGATAATTAAGTTATAGTGTATGTTCTATATGTTTTATTCCATGATGACTATTTGAATTATATGCCTATGTTTAAAACATGTTTTGATTGCTTTATGCATGTTCCTTTTATAAACTAGTTTACCCTTCCTTGTGATTGTGTCCTTATGTTGTTATTCTCATTTTTGCAATAATCACCATTAATTGGTGTGAGCAAATAAGAAAGTAGGTGTTGATCCATCTTAAGAAGGAAATGATGGTGCAATTATCTAGTTCTTGGTTTGGCAAATTCTAGACCTTTTAAATTTTAAAACTCTTTGTAGTTCTAGTATGGTTTTTATGTTTGCCTTTGGTTTGTATATGATTTATTGTGGTTTCAATAATACCTTTGTGGGATGACTATAATGAAGTAATTATATGCCTTGTTTATGCTTGATGAATAACAACTATATAGTGTCTTAATTGGTAGTATAACACTCACTGGTACAAAAATGACCTTTAACGTCACGCATATAACGTCCGACCACCGAAAATCTGTCGGCCTCTCTTAGTGGGCGGTCCTAAATAGTGTTCGGTCACTTCTTCAGTCTTACCTTTTATGGACCGTTCGATCCTGTCCTTTGGGAAGTGAGATACCGTTCGGTCTCCACCATTCACAGGGTGTTCGATCTTGCTCATTATGTGTTGATATTTTCTGTTCGGCCTATATTCCTATTTATTCCAGTATGCTATTTTACTTAATTGTTCCAGTTGCTTTAAGGGCTTATGTGTGCATTATCATGTTGGTGTTAAAGTGAAAAGTATCTGGACGTAATTCCATGATCCTCAAGGAGGGATACATGGTAGTGCCCTCAGTGTTTAGAATGATTTGCATGGTAGCTCAGTCTTGGGGGTTATCCTGAAACTACAATGGTTAATCATTCTCAAGTAGAGAGGATTGAATCATGTCGTGAGTAGTAGCAGGAGATCCTAGTCTTGGGTGCTTCCAGTATGGCCCAAGGTGAGTGATAACGGACTAACCTCGTGAGTACGGTAGGGTGAAACTCATTGGCAATGACTTTGCAAAGCAGTAGAGGCCACCACGAGTGCATGACCCACCATAGCTCGACAATCATTCTAAGTCCGGACGAGTCAAGTTTAAGTGCAACAAGTCATGTGGGTGTAGTGTATTGTATTTGATAGTATAATTGATAGTTTAATTTTTAGGATCTTTTACACAAAAATATTAGCTTGTTTTAATACAATAAGACAACAAATTAAAATTTTAATAATTATCAAAACTAACATTAATATATAATTATCCTTAAAAGAAANACCATATTAATTAATAATTATTGTAAAACCCCAGAAAAATGATATTTTAGAAGTAGTGATAGTCTAAAAATATTGAGACTCGATTATTTTAATGTTAAATGGTTTTATTATAAATAATTATGTTATAAACGAGTTTCATTATTTTAAAACGTATCATCTATCTAGAAATCACTTTTCGAGAGTTCTCTACCTTCTCTATAAGAGTTCTAACTCTTGAGTTATCTCTTTGACGTTCAGGAGGTGTCTAGACGATCACGGTGTCAAGGTCTACAAATCCAACCATCAATTTCTGTTTTAGAGCAAGTAAGTTTCTACTCGTTTTTTTGTCATCTTTGTTTTGGTCAATGATCATGCACATAACTGTTATGCATGTATCATTTAGTTCTCTTTTCTGGCTCTTGGTGAATATAGAGTTCTAAGAACTCTGTCCGTTTCAATTTTGGTACCTCGTAGGTCCATTTGCGAATTTTTTGCGTTTCAAGCGACTGGCGAGACGTTTCTGTGGGTTGAGGCTGTTTCTTGTAAGGTAAGGGAAACTAGAACTTATCTTAGTTGTGTTTATATTATAAATTTGGTGTCTCTATGAGTTATAGATGATTTTGAGAAAATTGATATGATTGAGTGTATAAAATGTATGTTTGATTGAGGATTTTGATAGTGTGATGTTGAATATAAGTGGTATAGTGTGATTGTGATGATTAATATTGTTATAATTAAGTATGATGATGATGTTGAAATGTTTGAAACTGGATTCAAGTGGTTGTGTGAAATATTGATCAAGTTACTTGACTTTCAAGCTTAAAAGAGAGGTTTTTGGTGAGTGAAATTGAGAATTTGGTATTTGAGTGAGATAACAACTGGTCTAGCACTGTTATGTGATTAATTGGGACTTGTTAGAAGAGTTAGATGGTTGAAAACTAATATGGAGCAAAGATTAGGGTTCATTGTTGAAGTTTTGAAGTGTTTTAGTGGAAAAGGGGGGGTTTGAGCAGTGAGAATTGGAAGTAAGAGGTGTTGATTGTTTTAGACATTTGGGAGTGTGTTATAGGACCCATTAGGACTTTCTATGTTGTTCAATGAGAAAAATATGGTATAGGACAGTTGGTGTCATCTTAGGATGAGTTCTTAGAGGTTTTTGGCCCAATTTGAGGTTTTGAATGGTGAGATCTTGAAACAGAGGAACTGTGAGCAATCTAGGATGTTGGGGTGTACTAGCAAGTGTGATTGGACTGGTTATACTGTTGGGAAACTGATATAGGGGTTAGAAAGTGTACATTTGAGTTTGGGTAGCTTATAGGAGTAAATTTGGGATTTCACAGGTCAATTTGGGTTTGGAGTGGTCAAGTCAAGTTAAGAGTCTATTTTTAAATATTTCTCAGTGTCTAAGAGTGTTTAGGAATCATTTAAAATTGTATAGAGGGTCACCAAAGTCCAAATAGGCGAATTTTAGAACCTGATGCAGCGCTGGGCGCCCCTTTTGGGGAACTGAGCGCAACTCAGCAGATTTTTGTTTTTTTTCAGTTTTCAGGATCTCAAATTTGGGGTTCAGGGTGTCCGTTTTGGACGTTCTTTTTTTTTATTTGGGGGTTTTGGACCCTTCTAGAGCTATTGGTGAGGGTTTTAGAGATGTTTTCCATACCTAAATATGAGTACCAAAATGCCATGAATAAATTGTGTTATTGGGTGATTTTTGGTGACTTGTATGGTTGTTTCTATTTCTTTAATGTATGATCATGAGTCTCATGTATTGGTGTACTATGTGAATGTGAAGTGATAGCAATGGTATCAAAGTTATGTGTTGAGATTCAAAGTGAAAGTAAGTTCTAAAGTGAGATCTATTGGTGAGGATCAAGTATGTATAGAATGAATACAAGAGCTCAGTCTTGGGGGTTATCCTGAAACTCCAATGGCCTTTCATTCTCAAGTAGAGAGGGTTGATTAATTTCGTGAGGAGAAGCAGAAGGTCTTAGTCTTGGGTGCTTCTAGTATGATCCAAGGCATGGAACAAACTAACCTTGTGAGTGTGGGAGGATGAAACTCATGGCAATGACTTTACAAAAGAGTAGAAGCCACCACAAGTGCACAACCCGATATAGCTCGACAATCATTCTAAGTCCGGACAGTCCATTCATAATAAGTGTCCTGCATAAAGTGTTTGATGACTATGTAATGATATGTTTGTTGTGTGTAATATGTTTAAATGAGTTTATATATGTCATGCTTCAATTGTAAACTAGCTTACCCTTGCGTTTGTGTTTGTCTGTGTGTGTGTTGTTTTCTATTGTGCAATGATCACCTTAACCGGTGTGAGCTTAGGGAGGACATATTTAAGGAGATTCAACCTTTGGTTGAGAGAGAAAAGCAACAGGATATATAGTCTTTGTTTTGTCAAGGATAGGATCTCTTGTTCTAGTAACTTCAAATTCCTTGTAAGTTTTCATCTACGTACGTCTTATTTTAGTAGTTTTATACTATTAAAATGGGATGTTACGTCTGATTTTGATATTTTGTTTGACTTATTTGCTTATATGAGTTAATTTCTAATGATTGTAGTAATAATATGAGTTGTTATGATTTAAAGGATTCTATGGGGAAAATCCTAGTGTTTTGTTGTCTTAACACTCTAATAACCATTCACACTCACATAGAGTAGAATTGGATATGTGGTGAGAGTAGCAAGAATCCTAATATAAGGGTTTTTCCTTGGCCTAAGAAGCGAAGGGGATTAACCTTGTGTATGGTAAGGTGAAACTCATTGCAATTACTCTATAGAGCAGTAAAGGTCACTACAAATGCATGTCTCCAATGAGTCTGATATCAATGCATGTATTCAGATAATTAAGTTATAGTGTATGTTCTATATGTTTTATTCCATGATGACTATTTGAATTATATGCCTATGTTTAAAACATGTTTTGATTGCTTTATGCATGTTCCTTTTATAAACTAGTTTACCCTTCCTTGTGATTGTGTCCTTATGTTGTTATTCTCATTTTTGCAATAATCACCATTAATTGGTGTGAGCAAATAAGAAAGTAGGTGTTGATCCATCTTAAGAAGGAAATGATGGTGCAATTATCTAGTTCTTGGTTTGGCAAATTCTAGACCTTTTAAATTTTAAAACTCTTTGTAGTTCTAGTATGGTTTTTATGTTTGCCTTTGGTTTGTATATGATTTATTGTGGTTTCAATAATACCTTTGTGGGATGACTATAATGAAGTAATTATATGCCTTGTTTATGCTTGATGAATAACAACTATATAGTGTCTTAATTGGTAGTATAACACTCACTGGTACAAAAATGACCTTTAACGTCACGCATATAACGTCCGACCACCGAAAATCTGTCGGCCTCTCTTAGTGGGCGGTCCTAAATAGTGTTCGGTCACTTCTTCAGTCTTACCTTTTATGGACCGTTCGATCCTGTCCTTTGGGAAGTGAGATACCGTTCGGTCTCCACCATTCACAGGGTGTTCGATCTTGCTCATTATGTGTTGATATTTTCTGTTCGGCCTATATTCCTATTTATTCCAGTATGCTATTTTACTTAATTGTTCCAGTTGCTTTAAGGGCTTATGTGTGCATTATCATGTTGGTGTTAAAGTGAAAAGTATCTGGACGTAATTCCATGATCCTCAAGGAGGGATACATGGTAGTGCCCTCAGTGTTTAGAATGATTTGCATGGTAGCTCAGTCTTGGGGGTTATCCTGAAACTACAATGGTTAATCATTCTCAAGTAGAGAGGATTGAATCATGTCGTGAGTAGTAGCAGGAGATCCTAGTCTTGGGTGCTTCCAGTATGGCCCAAGGTGAGTGATAACGGACTAACCTCGTGAGTACGGTAGGGTGAAACTCATTGGCAATGACTTTGCAAAGCAGTAGAGGCCACCACGAGTGCATGACCCACCATAGCTCGACAATCATTCTAAGTCCGGACGAGTCAAGTTTAAGTGCAACAAGTCATGTGGGTGTAGTGTATTGTATTTGATAGTATAATTGATAGTTTAATTTTTAGGATCTTTTACACAAAAATATTAGCTTGTTTTAATACAATAAGACAACAAATTAAAATTTTAATAATTATCAAAACTAACATTAATATATAATTATCCTTAAAAGAAAGAATTTAAAATTCACAAAATAAAAAACACAAAAAGTAAAAGATAATTACATATTAAGCTTAGTTTTTCTTTTAATAAACATATATAACAACTAATAAAAAAAATATGTACCAATGATAATTTTTTTCACATCATATTAAGAATAAATTATATTAATACTTGTTATGCTAAATAATCTATTTATCCAATAAATCATAATAACATTTGTATAATATAAGTTATATAACGAACTCAGAAGCCAACTGTTACAAGAACTACTTATTTGAATATACTAATATACCATAAGATTTAAGATTATGGACTTTTAAGTAAGATCTTATCCATAAAATAAAAAAAAGAATCTTTTTATATTTTAAAATGTATATTTCTAGGAAATGAAACATTAATTAAAATATAAGTTTTATAAAATTATGGCATTAAATAAAAATTATAAAAAAATTAAAATAATATAATTCTAAATTTCAGAAAAATTAAACTACAAATTTATAAAATAAGAAAGTATTCTGCGGTGAAACAGAGAATATTCTGTCTGAAAAGAGAGCAGTATGAAAGAAGAAGAAAAAAACTAAATAAAGATAAAAATGTTTTGTTAAATCGGTCATCTAACTTTCAATCCCAAAAATCTAAATCATACCAAACTTGTTCCTCTATTGTTTTTTCCTAATATTTTAGTTTATTCTACAACTACAGTATAAAAAAGGTATATTGTGACAGTGATGATTGCACTTCATTCTAAAAGATGAAAATTCCTTCCTCTATGTACTGTCTAATCATTTACTTTAACTTTTCTATTCCTTGTCTTTAGTATTTGTCTGTAATGTAATGTCACAAACTTTTTAAGGACATGTTTGGTTTCACCTTTCAAAGGAATTTCTTAATCATTTTTATTTTTCACGTCTCATCCAAAGCTTCAAACTTTTAATCGAACAACTCTGAAAAATTTATTCCAAAAGTCACGTTCTCAATTTTTGTTCTGAAAATTGTGTTCCAAAAATATTGTTTAGGAAATTTTGAAAAGCTTCCGAAAATATATGATTTGAAAGTTATTTTTCTGAAGGGTAAAGTCGTCATTTCATAAGTTTGGGAGGATGTATAAAGCAATTACGTAGATGCAGGAAGTAAAAGTCCTCAATGAATCTAAAAAGTAGAAAATTGAGGCCGAAGAAGCTGGTTCGTGAGAATGGCTTCAAACATTTCACTTTTAATTTTTTAACTTTTAATAATGCATTTCCAACTTTTTTTAAAAATTTCTTTTTTATCTTTTAATAAATATAATTTTATTTTCTTATTCTTTTATTAAAGTACTTTGATAAATATCTTTATATTTTTTTCTTTGTTAATAAAGGGATTCTGCATCACCTTTGTAACAATTTAATTTAATTTAAAATTTAAATATTAT